GTAGGAATAGTGCAAATGTTTTCTAGTCTGCATTCTGACTATATTTCTTCCGTCATTTGTCCTGTGTAAACACACCTACCCACTAAACCTGCTTAGAATTTGTAGTCACAACTTATGAGAGTAACAGACAGCAAAGTGAATTCGCATATCTTCGGTGAAGAAAAATATTATGCTGTGGTTTGGATACAGTTTGACATTGTGACTCTGGGTTGACTATGTAGTTTGTTCTTACTTTTCTGTAAGCTAAGCAATCACATCTCTGTTCAAACAGTAAGTGTGTGGAGATTTTCAGGAAAGGTTTGTAAATGTTGGCCTTAACAACTGCTACCTAATTCCTCTACACTTTTAAAAATAAAATGTTAAATATCAAAGATTTACTGTAGTCCTACTGAACATCAAAGACAGAACTACAACTTCAAGGTGTCTTTCATGCACAGTTATATATTACATGTAAATGTGACACCAAAATATAATAAATGCAGCAGATTAAATAGGCCTACTTGTATTTACATTTTGACACTGTCATATACTTTACATATATTATTGTCCCTGTTTTGAATCCTCTTTATAATGATAGTTTTTGTTAAAGGCTGGCCTGTGCTGGATGACTGTAACTCTGGCCTTCTTCCTGTCCACTGAAAACGGTTTGGCTGCTGTGGACCTGAACAGGCTTGCAACAATTGTAAATGGCATCTTGAGAGAGTGAGTCGAGATTTACTGAAATATTTCTGCTACCTCCGGATGTGTTCAGATTATCACTAGAAGCAATGTGAGGTGAAGATGCAATAGGGTATCGATAGACCGTGCAGAAAGGGTGGCTAGAGCTGTAATTTCAACACGTTCTTACTCCCAACTCGTCACATCTGGACGCTTGGTCGAGATCCCTTGGCTACAAACACCTGTCTACTTTTTAAACTATGTGTAGTCCTTGGTCCTGCGTGTTCTTTAATGAAGCAATAGGAGAAGGCGTTTTTGGTCAAAATGAATCAGTTTTATTACAAATAAATGAATAAAGCTTCCAGAGCTCTGTGTTTTTGCCTTCCTTTCCCTGACCACCAACAAGCAGGGTCAGTTCATGAAGTCTGACTAGCTATCTCTCCCTAACCTAGTATACATCATCAAGTCATAAAACAAAAGTGTAGGTCAGTGCATAACTGGCCCATGTTCTCTGACCCAATTGTTTCATCCTCTGAATCCACGAATCACCATGCTGTTTTTACTCCCCGACTCGTCACATATGGATGCATGGTCAAGGCCTATCTGCGTTTATAACGCACTGAGGATCCCCATAGAGCCATAGGTCAACGCAGTGGGGGAAGCCCTGTAGCGTCAGTGACAGTATAGGCAGGTAGGCCTTTGTGATATTTGACAGAAAAGACATTATAACACGGTTGGGGTGAAAGGAGGGCCAGGACCTTTGAATCAGGAGACTTGTGTTTGTGTATCCTGGACTGTCAGTGGTCATTCCCTCTGGCTGGATGAAGTCTGAACTCCGCAGAACTTTCTAAATTATTCCATCTCACAAAGAAAATAAAGGTCAGCTCGAAACAGTGTAGAGAGGCATTTTAAACCATGTATGAATCGTTAATATACAGCTCGCCAATTAACTAATAACAGTTCATGTTTGCTGTGAACCACTGGATGTACTGACAACTATCACTGAATTAATCCTAAAAAAAACAGAGGATTCTCACTAAAGCGTTCCTTTTCCACTTGCTAGGGAGTTAAAAACTGAACGTTGAGTCAATATTAGGCTATATAGATGCAGCCTCAGGTACTGCAGCTATATAATATTGTCCTGTTTTTCAAACTAAAAACCCACTTATGTTGATGTTCAAGCTCATCTTAATTAGGCTACATTTAATCAGGCACCACCATCGCCCGAGTAGGCTATATCTGCTGTAGGTTTATCAAGTGTAACACACAAAGCTGTTGTGGTGGCAGCCCGGCTGACGGTGAGTGTCCTGTTTATTTCTCCTTTTTTTTTGCTTGTGATTCTCTTTTTAACCTGGTGTTTTGGCCTGCCTGTTTGTGTCTCCTCCTTTCCCCCTGTGTGCTCTCCCTCTCTCTCCCTCCGCTCCTGAGCCCAGTCAGCCACCCGTACCTGCATCTCGTCAGCCACCTCCTCTGCCTGCCACACCTGCCAGCAATCAACCTCATCCCTGTCTGCATATCAACCCCGGTTCTCCACCATTGCTGCTTGATCGTCGTTGCTCCAAACCTGGTGCCACCTCATTGCTCTAGCCCACTTTTCTTGTTGATCTTCCTCAACAAGAAGGTGAAGATTAAGATCAACAATGATGAGGTGACATCGGCAACAGGGTGGTTGCGCCATGTGTTGAAAAATGTTTAAGCAACACATAGTGAGAGCATTCTCCAAAGGATAAATCACATCTGTCAATGGGATAATTATGCTGTTGGGTTTTCTACAATATTCAGACCCCACAGTGGTTTGATCAATACTGACGAACACCGTAGTGGAGCCCTTCAATCGGGACTTCAGTTGGTCTAGAGAATATATTCCATTGTGGAACAGGTGATGTTGTTTCCTCCTCACAAACTGATGATAGCAATGGAAATTATTTTACTACAGATGAAGGTGTGTCCTCTTCCCAAAGGGGGCTTGCTTGATATCGTTAATGGAAACTATGGTTCTAATACAGATGAAAGCGTCTTCTATGAGTCTGTGGTGGCCAGTGCTATCCTGTTTTCTGTTGCATGCTGGGGCAGCAGGTTGAGGGTAGCAGATGCTAACAGACTCAACAAACCACAAGGCCAGTGACTTTGTGGGGGTGGAGCTGGACTCTCTGCTGTTGGTGTCAGACAGGAGGATGCTGTCCAAACTACATGTCATCTTGAACAATGTCTCCCACCCACTCCATGACGTGCTGCTCGTACACAACAGCACTTTGAGTGCAAGAATTATTCCCCCAAAATGCACCACAGAGCGTCACAGGAAGTCATTCCTGCCTGTGGCCATCAAACTTTATAACTCCTCCCTCTAAGTGTCTGACACACGGTTTTAAACTGGGCATTGTTATCTGTTCTGTGCAATAGTACCTGTTTAAATACTTAATGAGCAACACTCTCTGCTGCAATTCTGCTTCTACTATTTATTCATTATTACTGTTCACCATAACAATTCTTTTTATGTAAATATTGTACAAATCCACAATCCTTTATATTCCTTGTATTTTATATTTTTACTCTGATATTTCTATACTTCTTTATATACTGACTTTCTATCTTTATTCATATTCCTTTTGCCTTGATGTGCAATGTGTGCAACTGTGACACAGAATTTCCCCTCGTGGATCAATAAAGTATTTCTGATTCTGATATACTGCAGGTAAAACACTGACTATGGATAGGACTATCTCTTTAAATATTTAGTAAGAACTCATCCTACAAAAGAGTTGTTTGTGGAGTGCAACCTGTTTTACTTTTTATCTCAACTTAGTAAACAGTTATGCTATAACTAGTCTTAACAACAGCTGGTGCAGCCAGCTCCTGCTGTCAGAGTTACCTCACAGCACAAGTGCAGGAGGCAGTAACATGACTCTGTATTTCCTTCTGTATTTCTGCTGAAATATCCATCTTCAATCTGCAAGTCAGGATGAAGGGGCTGATTTGGCAATACTGTCCAAAGCAAGTTCATCAGAAACAAAGCAAAAAATCTCAAAAGGCCTTTCAAGAACAGAAGAAAAAGCAACTGAGTTTTTAGTCTCTTTTCTCTCATTATTTTGGTTTGATGGTGTATTTCATGTCTGGTTCAGTCTCAGCGCTCTCATTATCCTTGCTTCCAGCAGCAGCAGACAACAGCTCTGATAAACCCGCTGTCCTCTACCTGCCCAGCACCAAACAGCAGACACACACATTTAGACACTAGCTCTCGAAGAAAGAGTCAGATATTTGTTCTCCGCATATGCTAGAGACCAACAAATAGCTAAAAGAAGAGTGAACACTGAACTTACATTCATCAGGTGGAAACAAACACAACTCCAAATGTTCATCCATCGTCAACCGCTTATCCTGCGTACAGGGTCGCGGGGGGGCTGGAGCCAATCCCAGCTGGCAACGGCCGAAAGGCGGTACACCCTGGACAGGTCGCCAGTCCATCGCAGGGCCACACATAGACAAACAACCACTCATGCTCACACCTAAGGGCAATTTAGGGTCACCAATTTACCTAGTCCGCATGTCTTTGGATGGTGGGAGGAAGCTGGAGCACCCGGAGAGAACCCCCGCAGACACGGGGAGAACGTGTAAACTCCACACAGAAAGGCCGGGGTTTGAACCCACAACCGCACCACCGTGCCGCCCCAACTCAAAATGTCTTCTGGTTAATTATTTGCTAATTAGCCATAACGAGGGAAGTGATTATTTGCTCAAATTAAAGGCAGTCGGACTCGACAGTGATCTTAACTGCTTACCAAAGAACCAGCAGTCCAGCTCTTTCCCATTTTAGATGTGTTGTTTGTGTTTTAGCTGATTCAAGCTAACACTGATGCTGTCTTTCTGCCACTCAGTGAGCGTAACTGCGTTCTGTGACGTCATGCACATGCCCTCTATTGTGAAACACGATTTATTGTCTCTTACTTAAAGGAATAATCCCCCATTTTGATAAATAGTGAAAACTCTTCATAATAACCCCCATGACCAGCCTGTTCTCATCTCAGGGCGTCTGATACCAACGCTTTCAGAAAAAGTGACAAAACATAGTTATGTCCTCTCTATGAGACGCTCCCGGAAGCGTCTCTATATGAGACGGTCTGGCGCGTCCTGTACGTGCAAAATGTGGGGGTACGTGCAAAAAGTTTTTTTATAGACCAAATTACTTTACAGAAAAAAACCCCTTCCTTAAGTATTGTATCAGCCAATCAAAGACCTCCAAAGGGCTGTGTGTCAATATAAATGATTCGGTCTTTGTTCAACTTCCTAAATCAAACAGCAGAATATTTTTCTCCTGTTCTTTCTTCTACATAACTTAGAGACATGTTCAAATAAGGGCATGTGGTTTGTCCGTGTCAGGCTGTCCTCTACAAACATGTAACTCACTTCTAACTGTATTCACTGAGACAGCACCTTGCACTGAGAAGGAAACAGAGTCAACTGCATCTGATAGACGTCTTTCTCCACCAAAGTAGGTACACAATTTTTACTTTTATTAGTGAAGTTCTGTCACTACCTGGAAGATAGAGTTGAGTCAGAGAGTTGAGTGCTAGGTGCTCTGTACACGATTTTCTCAGTTAGCTGCCCAACTTAATCAAAACAAGTTAGTATTTTCCAAAGTTATTGTCCTATAGTACAAGATTCTGTTTGGGTACACTGCTCAAACAAAGGGAACACTTACATCACACATCAGATCTCGATGAACAAAACATTGTATAATTTGTTGTGAACAAAATGACAAATCACCTGTAAGAGCCATTTTGGCATATATGGTATTTGCAAAAGTGTTGTTAAACACCTGCAGAAGTTCTTTTTGTTTTTGATATTGTGTTTTTGTACCTGTTGAATGGGTGGGTTAGTAATTTCGCAGGTTCTCCCCACAAGCCATTGACCTGATGAACAGCTGATTTCTGACTCACAGTGTCAGGAACAATTCTAGTACAATAACTCAGTAACTCTGCCTCTAATGAGCCACTTGTTTACTGGCTAACACTTATAATTTATTCACCATTCTCTATTTCAGTGCTGTTCATACTGATATATTGTCATATTGTAGATACTGTATACCAATCCACCTAACTCAAGTCATAACTCCTGCAAAAAATACTTTATTTATTTATTCCAGCATCCTTTGCACTATGCTTCATTGCACTGTGTACATGTGTACATTAATATGTACCTGTAAATCACATCCACCTCCAACATGTACATACTCCTGCATCCTTTGCACTCTGCTCACTGCACTATTTGTCAATATATCTATATGTTTTTGTTCATAGTGTGTATATTTGTGTTGTCTATACTGAAGTCTGTGTCTGATTTTATTTTATTTTTATTGTTGTGATTTTGTATTTTTGTATGAATAAGCACATCGTGAGCAATGTACAATGTGTACACATAACTGGCAATAAAACAGATTCTGAGTCTGAATTTTGTCCCCCAACTGCTCCATTGGAAGCACATTAAGAAGGGATCTTTTAATGGCCAGTATAAACAGCAGGATTGCACCTGACTATTTGAAAGACAGATTTGAAAATATGTGAATATATCCTTTAAAATGAGATACAAATTTTTACTTCTATTATTGGTGTTGTGTCTTTTCTGTTTTTAGATCCGGTTGGCAGCAGCAGTGAGGGTAAGCATTCTCAATCAGGGCACCTCAAAAACATTTTAAATCTTGCTCCTTCATAGACAGCGGCAGCTATAGTGAGTGTGGATTGACAGCAGTTACAATGGCTTCCTACAGCATCACAAACAACTCAGAACTTCAAAAACTACCACTGCAGAATAGTACACCTTTACTATGTTGATATGTATAAATGTTAAAATGCTAACTTGCGAGTTAATGTGTTGACCTTGCATGTTAGCATAAAAATATTAGTATTTAGTTCAAAACACAACTGAGCATCTGAAGTCAGACAAAAAGGGAAAATTTAAACACTTTAATGTTTGTGTCTGTTGATTTGGACTCAATGTACCAAATCCAGCCTGTCCTCCACAGAAAAACTAACAAATTGGTAATTTTTGGAAGGACGTTATTGCTACACCGATTTTCATTTATTGTGGCAGCAACCCTTAGTGGCATAACAACAGTAGCAAAGGAGGAAGCAGGATGACATATCATAAATAGCAAGTCATTAGAAGGTGGAGTGAAGTAATAGGTCAAACCCAGGACCTTGACACAGGAGAACAGTGTTCAAGTCCCATGTTAAGTAAATAGTCAGTTAATTTTGAGTTTTAAGTTGTGTTACTGACTTCTGTCATGTAAGCAAGTAGTTTAAAATTGTATATTACTATAATATAATAATATAGTCTATAACATTAAATATAAAGTAAATATAATATTATTAATGTTTATTTTATAGATTACAAGCTTTGTTTGGATTGTCTACCTTCAGATAGTTTAGGCTATTTGTAACAATTCAACAGCTAATAAGTTGAGAATCAACAATTCAGTTGTTTCACAACAGTTTTCTATTATTACACCGCTCTTGTTAAGGTTTGACTAGGGTTAATGTTAGTGTATTTATTAGAATTTCAGCTAATGTGGCCTACTTCTTTCTACTAGTATAATAGTTATTCCAGTTGGATAAAACAGAAGTTTTATTTTTGTGGGTTGGTTGGAAACTCAATTATTTGCTCAACCCCTCCTCAGGAATATAATTTCCATGACACTACTCAGTGTTGGGTTATGATACCAGGCTTAAGACTCACAGCAAACAAAGACCACATAATGTTACAAATGTTTTAAGTCAATTAATGTCCAGCAAAAATAAGAATCCCACTTATGTCCTGAAATGGCTGGTTGCTGTGTTGTTGCTCACTGAAATCAATAACAGCTGCTGACTATTTGGTCAGACTGTGACATGAAATAGCCGGAGAACAATTTCTGAACAGTGAGTATGGATTACAGTTTGTAAAAGTTTGACTTTTAAATGTGTTGCTATATTTCTCAAGAATGAGCAAACTATTTGACACATTTTTCCTCATTACTGTAGCCTCGCTCAATGTTTTTAGAGCACATCATAATGTGTAAGATATAGTGTAAATACTATACAGGCAGCATGTGGTGAACACTGTGTTTAACAACAACCTGTTGCAGATAATATATTTTGAAATTGTAATGTATTTAGTGTTTTATTATTCTTATCCCTGATTCTAATCCTCTCTGCTGGTGCTGTTTGTCTATCACTCTCAGATGGCTGTCCTGTACTGGATGGCTGTAACGCTGGGTTTGTTCCTGTCTGCTGGAAACAGTTTGGCTGATGTGGACCAGAACGAACTTGCAGGAATTGTAAAAGAAATCTTGAACAAGTGAGTTTCACTTCAGTTGAAATTCCTTCAAATAAAGTATACATTATCAAGAGTTTGCTATCTTTTGAAAATGACAAGAATGAGAATTACCAACAAACACACTATTCTATGAGACACGTTTTAATAAATCATAAAGTAACATTTGTATTTCAAACAAATGGCAACTTATTAGTACATTTTAACAAAACTCCCTTCACCCTCATGCATCATGGGAATTCTGAGGGATGGACATAGGCTGCATGTGTGCAACTTCCACTGGAAGCCTCTCAGAAGCATTTCAGCAGCGAAGCTTGTAGCCTGCCATTAATGACTTGTTCTTATTTGTCCTTTTTGTGCTTCTACTACATTCTTTAAAGCTCTCTATGGATCGCTTTAGTTTCTCGTCTTGACGGGTGCATCTAGCAACTACCACAGGTAGCACTTCAGAATAAGAGCGTTTTACCTTCCGGACTTAGATTTTGTTGATTTGGTGATTAGTGCTTGCTTTTTGTGCTTCTACTATGATTAAGTAGGCTACGTAGTAAAAATCTTTCTTTTTTGTCTGATTTAACTGTATTTATTGTTGATATACGATCGAAAATCTGTAACGGGTATTTTATTTTTAAATGTGCTGAGAGTCTAGCTCTTCCCCCACTTAGGCCCAATCCCAATGTCCCCCCTAAACCCAAATCCCTGAACCCTCAGAGACTTTACTGACGTCACTTGGAAAGTGATTAGTTTAAGAGGCTGCAAGGGCTCAAAATGCTGTAAACAGGAACGGGACAGCCCTTTGCCACTTTATCACCTTGACGATGCTGAAACAGGTTGCATACTTTTTAATTTAATGTTTTTACCTGATTTTAAGTCCTGCAGGCTCTGGCCCTACAGAGTGGAGGAGAGGTAAATGTCAATACACTATTGTTGGTCAAACAGCATCATTAAGCAAAAACTAAAATAAATAGTTGAATAACTAAGTGTGTAATAAGGTGACTGCATTCCTCTGACTTAAGTTAAGAAAACTTTTAACAATTTTAACATGAGCGTGTTGATGCTTGTTTGTTTACTGTTTTCTTCTTCTTCTCTTATAACGTGGAATTGCTGTGAAATTTTTTTTGCTTCCGGCTTCCCCGGTAACCCTGTGTTTCACGTCATAGCGCTATGAACTTTGGGCAATTCCCTCAGCCAAAGTCTGCAGAAATGCGGACTTACAAAAAGTGTCTATAAAGGGCTCAAAATGTCCGTGAGAGAACCCTCGTGGACTTGACGATTTGACCGTGGGACAGCCCTAAGCCCTCACAGCCTCAAAGTCTGTGAGTCTGTGAGTGTGGACATTGGGATTGGGCCCCAATGTCCACACAAGTTTGTGAGGGCTTTAGCTCGATTTATACTCCTGCGTAGAGTCTACGTGAGTAGCTACGTAGTAGCTACGCCGTAGGCTACGCAGGTAGCCAGGCATTTATACCTGTGCGTCCGTTGTCCGTCAATCTGCAATTACACCCCCAAACACTAGTCAGCAGTAGCGCTACAGCGTCCACTGTGTTGAATTTTGCCCGGCCGATTTCGCTTGGGTTGTGATGTGTCCACCCAGTGATTTCTGAACAGCTGTTTTGAAGGAGCTGAGGTTCCTGATTTCTGAAACCATTCACCTCTGGCTACCAAGCTAATATGCTACTCTGCGTTGCTAGCATGGAGGTAGCTAATCGGCTAAACCCCCAGAAGCAAGTCAAAGTTGGTGGTTGGTAGCCGTGGCCATATCATTACCCATTTGTGTTTCATGGCTGTTTTAAAATATTGTTGATGGTTCACATTGCAATAAATTCCATATATATTTGCACTGCATCTGTCTCTACTACTGACTGAACTCTTGCTTAGAGAGATACATGTAGGGTAAATAGAAAAGTGAAAATACTCAAATGGTTCAGGTTTCACATAAAATGTTGCCAATTATGCAGTATATTTCTTTGTGTGCAGAAGTATTGTCACTTTCTACCTTAGACTTAAAGACAAAATAGGACCATACACTCAGTACCAGAGCCTGAAGTTTGAAGAGTGCCTTGTCTGCTGCTCTGTCTAGTTGAAACATAAAAGGAGTACACATCCAAACCAACCTGTGTGTAAGTGCTGAAACAAAGAATGACCTGCATACTGAGTAATTATGAGTCCAAATAGGGGGTATCATAAATTGTAACTTTGCAAACTGAGGTGGTTGAAAGCACCTGTGTTAAATAGGTATGCCTACGTGTTAGCCACTCAAAACCTTCTCAGAGCTCGCAATAAAGTACACCACCTTGGGGTTTCAAAAATATTCAGTGTGCAGATAATTCTTTGTTTTCCACATAGTGTAACTTCTCAGTGAATGTCACATTTGTCTCTTAAAGAAATGTTATATGCTGGTGTTTTTGGACATCAGCTTTTCATTTTGAACTTTCTAGCATATAAGCAAATGTTAACTTATACATCAATATTAAAAGGTTACAAATGTAACAGTTGTTTTGTATGACTAGAAATAAATTGTTTTAACAGTAATTATAATGATAGAACCTAGTGTCATAATTTCAATCAGTAGTGTGCATATATTGTGGAGTAAAAGGAAAAACAAAAGGTTAAGCAAAGCAGCAAGGTACACGAGCTGGAAGCTGGGACTTTTATATCGGGTAGAGGTGGACACAGGTGCTCCACATCTGGATCGATTCTGCAATCTGCTCCCCTGGCACCTCAAAATACAAAATTATTGACAATGCACACGAAATACACGAAATCCCAAATACCATAAACCTACTGTACTCTGAGATCATCTCAGCATGATGACCTCTACAGCATGTAACAGTTAGGATAGCATGTATGACTCTGTGGTATGTCACCTGTCTAACTGAATGTTTTGGAGCTCGTCAGGTTTATAGTAACTGCTGATTTACACCACAGTTGCATTTAGGCCAGTAGCCAAGGACAGTAGTGTAGAATCGTCATCGCATGTGGACAAACATTGCATGCTCTGTCTTGTGGCAAATCCAAAGACACATTGACACAACAACACATTGATCATATAATGGATTTAAAATCACCATTCGATAAATAAGTAAACTAAATAAATGAAACAACAAAATTTGTCCCTCTTAAATTGTGAGAACAGAACAACATGCATGAAAATGTTACCTTTTTAGGTGTATTTTTCCATTTTATGCTAACAATTATGCAACTTGGTTACAGGTCAACATACAGGAGCAAAATAACAGCAAATGCATCCACTTAATGTTTAAATACTACTACACTCTTTAGAACAACAAATTCAACATACCTGCATTTATGACAAAGGACAGTAGTGTTGAATCGTCATCTCATGTGGACAAACAGCAGCAACAACCTGTCTGGAAAAACAGCACCATGTTAAAGTTAGCAAGCTACCCTGGAGAGAACACAAAATGAATGGTTAACTTCATTTAAAGATGGCGAATTGAATCTAATATTCAACAAAATAAGGCTAGCTCAACCTTTATGTGATTTTCAACTTAGTTATCATTCTTTAGTCCACGGATATTCACACCTTACCTAATAGTAAATTCTCCATTGCTTGGAAATTATCCATAATCCTTTCCCTTAGTGATTAATAACGTTACTTGATGCAGGTACAACTTTATAACAGCAGGTGGAATAGTTGTCCCATTTTATTTAACTTTGTTACAGAATACACTATTTACTCAAATGTGCAATATTAATATTTGCTGCTATTTAGTCAAATATGCAATAATAATCTATGCCAGAGGCACCACTTTTAACACTCAATTTTGGTCTTAATGTATATTTATCATTTAGCTCTCATTTTATGTGTTATTGAACTAGTACTCAGTGTTTCCCCACACACAGACTTTACTTGGGGGTGGGCCGCCCAGGTTAACAGCAACCCATTTTAGCATTTTTCAGAGAAACACAGAGAGCTGTTATCTATTGGATGTGCACACAGTGGATATTTACAAGCACAGACCAAGTAAAGCCACAGTGAACACACCATTGCAGATGTCATTCGTTAGCTACAACGTTGGTTTCATTCTGATAGGCAACTTCGTCAACAGTCCCCTGCTACTTTCTGGGAAGAGATATAGAGATAAGTTTCAGCTGCCGCACCACCAGACTGCTGAGCAGTTTTCCCCCCAAGCTATCACAGGGGTGTAGGAGTGACTTTGAATCTTGGGGGGGGGGCACTGAAATGCTAGGGGAGTTCGGGGGCATGCCTCCCCGATTTTATTTTAAATAAAGCACTTAAATGCTCATTTCTAATGACTTTTGAAAACAGATTGTACTTATTAGTGTGGCTGAAAGAGGGTCTTTGCAGTGAGAAGATATGGAGAATAGGGGGAGAGGGATGAAGATTCGGTGCACAGTCAGAGAGAGAGTGTAATATACTAGAACAAAACTCCACTGACTACCTACCATAAAAACCATGGAACAGCTGCTAATTAATGTAGCTAGCCACAGTACAAATGTATTTAGTTATCCTAATGTTTCAATTGATGTAAGCTGTCTGTGATATTCCCTGTGTCTCACTTGGCATTGACTCTCCCTGCAAAAAATGTTTGTGAACACAGAACTGTCTTCAATGCAAACTCTGATGACATGCTATTGACCTAACAAAGTCTTTTTACTACGTGAGTTTTAGAATGTCTAGTAGCTATCCATACAACTTACAAGCTTGTTCTCCTTTTTTCTACTACTCCTGTGACCTCTGTCCTCTTCCTTTTAAAATACTGTAGGATGCTCGTCTCTGTGTGAACATTTTGACCACTTTCAAATTGTTGATGGACACGTAGCTTAGACACATACACACCTCAGGCCGCAAGATTTTAAGGTCAAGGATGGTCACAAACAGAGGCAAAAAAGTGGCCCAGGAGTTTGTCCCTGCTCAGCCCACTCTCCAGACAAAGCATTTGTCGGGGTCTCTGGATCTTTAGAGACCTTTATTCCTGCATTTTATGAAAGTAGAGTACATAACTAAATTAACCTTTAAAATACATTTTCAAAAATAGAAA